ACCCTGGGACGCCTCGTCCGGCTCCTCTGAATCCCAGAATTCCCAAAATTCCTTGGAATTTCCATCTCTGAAACCCTGGGACGCCTCGTCCGGCTCCTCTGAATCCCGGAATTCCCAAAATTCCTTGGAATTTCCATCTCTGAAACCCTGTGACACCTCGTCCGGCTCCTCTGAATCCCCAAATTCCCAAAATTCCATGGAATTCCTGACCCTGGGACGCCTCATCCGGCTCCTCTGAATCCTGGAATTCCCAAAATTTCCAGGAATTCCTGACCCTGGGACGCCTCGTCCGGCTCCTCTGAATCCCGGAATTCCCAAAATTCCTTGGAATTTCCATCTCTGAAACCCTGGGACGCCTCATCCGGCTCCTCTGAATCCTCAAATTCCCAAAATTCCTTGGAATTTCCATCTCTGAAACCCTGTGACACCTCGTCCGGCTCCTCTGAATCCCCAAATTCCCAAAATTCCTTGGAATTTCCATCTCTGAAACCCTGGGACGCCTCGTCCGGCTCCTCTGAATCCCCAAATTCCCAAAATTCCATGGAATTCCTGACCCTGGGACGCCTCATCCGGCTCCTCTGAATCCCGGAATTTCCAAAATTCCCAGGAATTCCCAACCCTGGGACGCCTCATCCGGCTCCTCTGAATCCTGGAATTCCCAGAATTCCTTGGAATTTCCAATTCCCAAAATTCCATGGAATTCCTGACTCTGCTGGATCCGGGATCCATTCCCGCCCCTCCAATCCCGCTCTGCTGCTTCCCGATGGAAAATCGGGATCCCCGAATTCCCCGAGTTCCCAGAATTCCCAGAATTCCCCCCTGTACAGAGACTCTTTTTAAATAAAGCTTTGGCCACCGGATCCGGCTCTGGAATTCCGGGATCGGGAATGGGAAATTGGGATCGGGAAATTGGGATCAGGAATGGAAATTTGGGATCTGGAATGGGTAATAGGGATTGGGAATTTGGGAATGGGAATTTGGGAATGGGATCGGGAATGGGAAATTGGGATCAGGAATGGGATCTGGGATGGGATCTGGGACGGGATCAGGAATAGGAAATTGGGATTTAATGGGAGATTGGGATCGGGAATGGGAATTTGGGAATGGGATCGGGAATGGGAGATTGGGATCGGGAATGGGAATTTGGGAATGGGATCGGGAATGGGAAATTGGGATCAGGAATGGGATCTGGGACGGGATCTGGGACGGGATCAGGAATAGGAAATTGGGATTTAATGGGAAATTGGGATCGGGAATGGGAATTTGGGAATGGGATCGGGAATGGGAGATTGGGATCGGGAATGGGAAATTGGGAATGGGATCGGGAATGGGAGATTGGGTTCGGGAATGGAAATTTGGGAATGGGATCGGGAATGGGAGATTGGAATCGGGAATGGGAATTTGGGAATGGGATCGGGAATGGGAAATTGGGATCAGGAATGGGATCTGGGACGGGATCTGGGACGGGATCAGGAATAGGAAATTGGGATTTAATGGGAAATTGGGATCGGGAATGGGAATTTGGGAATGGGATCGGGAATGGGAGATTGGGATCGGGAATGGAAATTTGGGAATGGGATCGGGAATGGGATTCCACCTGTGGATCCGTGGGGATGATCCCTGGGATCTGGAATTCCAGGATTCTGTGGGATTTGGGGGGGTGGGGATTTGATCTGGAATGGGAAATTGGGATCTGGAATGGGATCTGGAATGGAAATTTGGGAATGGGATCGGGAATGGAAATTTGGGAATGGGATTGGGAATGGAAATTTGGGAATGGGATCAGGAATGGGAATTTGGGAATGGGATCGGGAATGGGATTCAAGACACAAAACCCCAAAATCTCATCCATAAAAATGCTTTATTGAGCTCCATGAGCTCCACCGGGGCTGGATCCCTGTGGATCCC